GATTAATGGATAGAAAAAATTATTAGCAACATAATAAAAAATCCTTAGAGGTAAAGGAGAACACCAGTACAACATATCAAAATCTCTGGGACACTATGAAGGCAGTGCTAAGAGGAAAGTTCATGGCATTGAGCTCATGCATTAAAAGAATAGAAAGTCAACAAATAAATAACCAAAGCCCTAGAAAAAGGAGAAAGCAACACCAAAACCAGTAGAAAACAGGAAATAATTAAAATAAAGAGATGAAATTGAAACAAAAGAAACAATCCAAGAGATTGACCAAAAAAGTTGGTTCTTTGAAAAGAAAAATCAATAAAATTGATAAACCCTTAGCCAAACTAACAAAGAGAGAGAGAAAACTCAACTTATTAAAATTTGTGATAAAAAAGGAAATATTACAACAGACATTACTGATATACAGATGATAATCAAAACCTATTTTGAAAATTTATACTCTTAATAGAAAATCTTGACGATATCAACAAATTTCTAGAGACAAATGACCTACCCAAACTGAATCAGTAAGACAGATCAACTTTAAGCAACGAAAATGAAGACACCATCAAAAGCCTACCAAGAAAGAAAAGCCCAGAACCAGACAGATTCTCAGCTGAGTTCTACCAGACCTTCAAAGAAGAACACCAATTCTTCTCAAATTATTCCATGAAACAGAAAAGGAGGGAACCCTTCCAAACTCATCCTATGAAGCTAGTATCACCCTGATACCAAAACCAGACTAAGACACATCAAGGAAAGAAAATTTCAGACCAACATCCCTGATGAACATATATGCAAAAATTCTTAATAAAATACTGGCAAATAAAATACAAAAACATATTTAAAAGATAGTACACCATGATCAAGTGAGGTTCATCCCAGGGATGCAAAGTTCGTTCAATGTACGGAAATCAATAAACATAATTTATCACATCAATAGACTTAAAGACAAGAATCACATGATTGTCTTAAAAGATGCAGAAAAAGCATTTGACAAAATACAGCATCAATTCATGCTCAAAACACTAGAAAAACTAGGGATAACAGAAACATATCTCAACATTGTAAAAGCTATATATGCTAAGCCCAAGGCCAACATCATTCTAAATGGAGAAAAATTTAAAGCATTCCATTTAAAAACTGGAACAAGACAGGGATGCCCTCTTTTATCACTTCTATTCCTGGAAACTCTAACCAGAGCAATTAGAAAATAGAAATTAAAGGGATACATATAGGAAAGGAAGAATTCAAACTATCCCTATTTGCTGATGACATGACTCTATATTTAGAAGACCCAAAAAAACTCCACCAGAAAACATCTAGAACTCATAAATGAATTCAGCAAATTAGCAGAATATAAAATTAACACTCATAAATCAATTGCATTCCTATATATATAGGAATGCAATTGATTTATGAGTGTTATAAGTGATGAGTGACTTGAAAGAGAAATTAGGAAAATGATCCTATTCATAATAGCCTTAAAGAAAATAAAATAGTTGGGAATAAATGTAACAAAAGAGGTGAAAGACCTATACAATGAAAACTACAGAACACCAAAGACATTAAAGAAGACCTTACAAGATGCAAAGATTCTCCAAACACAGAGACAACCCCACATAAATACAGTATCTCATACTAGACAAGAGGTTCCATAAAAACACATTGGAGAAAAGATAGCCTCTTCAACAAATGGTGCTGGGGAAACTGGAAATCCATTTGTAATAAAATGAAGTTAGGGGCTGGGGATGTGGCTCAAGCGGTAGCGCGCTCGCCTGGCATGCGTGCGGCCCGGGTTCGATCCTCAACACCACATACAAACGAAGATGTTATGTCCGCCGAAAACTAAAAAATAAATATTAAAATAATAATAATAAAAAAATAAAATAAAATGAAGTTAGAAGTGCTGGGGATATAGCTCAGTTGGTAGAGTGCTTGCCTTGCATGCACAAGGCCCTGGGTTCGATCCCCAGCACCACAAATTTTTTAAAAAATGAAGTTAGAGCCTTATCTCTCAACATGCACTAACCTCAACTCAAAGTGGATCAAGGGTCTAGATATTAGACCAGCGACCTGTGCCTACTACAAGAAAAAGTAGGGGGCTGGGTCTGTGGCTCAGTGGCCGAGCACTTGCCCAGCATGTGTGAGGCACTAGATTTGATCCTCGGCACCACATTAAAAATAAATAAATAAATAAATAAAATAAAGACATGCTGCCCATCTACAACTATGTTAAAAAAAAAAAAAAAAGAAAAAGAAAAAGTAGGCCCAAATCTCCATCATGTCTGCTTAGGATCTGAATTCCTCAACAAGGCTCCCAAAGAGCAAGAATTAAAATCAAGAATCAATAAATGGTGGGGCCAGAGTTGTGGCTCAATGGTAGAGCACTTGCCTAGCATGTGTGAGGCACTGGGTTCAATCCCTGGGCATTACATAAACAAATAAAATAAAACCATTAAAAAAAAATCAGGGGCTGGGGTTGTGGCTCAGTGGTAGAGTACTTGCCTTGCACATGTGAGACCCAGGGTTCGATCCTCAGCACCACATAAAAATAGACAAAATAAAGATATTGTGCCCATGTATAACTAAAAAAGATTTTTAAAACGAATCAATAAATGGTATTATATTAAAAAGTTTCTTCTCAGCAAAGGAAACAATTAATAATGTGAAGACAGAGCCTACAGAGTGGAAGAAAATCTTTACCACATGCATTTTAGATACAGCACCAATTTCCAGGATATATAAAGAACTCAGAAAACTTAACACCAAAAAAATAATAATAACCTAATCAATAAATGGGCTAAAGAATTGAACAGACCCTTCTCAGAAGAAGATATATAATCAATTAACAAATATTTGAAAAAAAAATGTTCAACATCTATAGTAATTAGAGAAATGCAAATCAAAACTACTTTAAGATTTCATCTCACTCCAGTGAGATGAAATGGCAGTTATCAAGATTATGAGCAACAGTAACTGTTGGTGAGAATGTGGGGGGAAAAGCACATCCATACATTGCTGGTGGGACTGCAAATTAGTGCAATCACTTTGGAAAGCAGTATGGGGATTCCTTAGAAAACTTGGAATGGAACCAAATGATTGGTCAATCCAACCATTTGACCCAGCTATGCCACTCCTTGGTCTATACCCAAAGGACTTAAAATCAGCAATACTATAGTGAAACACAGCCACATCAATGTTTATAGCAGATCAATTCACAATAGCTAAGCTGTGGAACCAACCTAGATGCCCTTCAAGAGATGACTGGAGAAAGAAACTGGTATATACACACATTGGAATATTTCTCAGCATTAAAAGAGAATAAAATCATGGCATTTGATGGTAAATGGATGGAGTTGGAAAAAATCATACTAAGCAAAGAAAGCCAATCCCAAAAAACCATAGGCCAAATGTTTTCTCGGATAAATGGATGCTGATCCATAATGGGGCAGGGAGAGCCTAGAAAGAATGGAGGAACTTTGGGTTAGGCAAAGGGCGGGTGGGGAGGGATTGGGGGTAAGAAAGATGAGAGAATAAGATAGATATCATTACCTTAGGTACATGTATGATTGTAGAAATCTACATTGTGTACAACCTGAGAAATAAAAAGTTGTGCTCCATTTGTATACAATGAATCAAAATACATTCTGCTTACATGTATAACTAATTAGAACAAATTTTAAAAATAGCTCTTTCCCCCCTCAAAAAAAAAACTACACTGAGATTTCATTTCATTCCCATCATAATGGCAACTATCAAGAATACAAGTAACAATAAATGTTGGCAAGGATGTAGTGAAAAGGGTACACTCATACATTGTTGGTGGGACTGCAAATTGATACAATCACTCTGGAAAGCAGTATGGAGATTCCTCAGAAAACTTGGAATAGAACCACCATTTGACTCAGTTATCCCACTCCTCAGCATACACCCAAAGGACTAAAAATCATCATACTATAGCCACATCAATATTCACAGCAGCTCAATTCACAATAGCTAAACTATGGAACCAACTTAGGTGCCTTTCAATAGATAAATGGATAAAAAAAAATGTGGTACATACATACAATGGAATATTAGTCAGCCATAAAAAAATAAAATTATGGCATTTGCTAGTAAATGGATGGAACTAGAACTGCTAAGTGAAATAAGCCAATCTCAAAAAACCAAAAGCTGAAGGTTCTTTCTGATATGGGGATGCTGACTCACAAAAGGCTGGTGGGGGTGGGCAGTGGAGGTTCACTGGATTGAACGTGGGGGAATAGGGGGAGGGGAAGAAAAGGGGGGATGGGAATGGAAAAGACAGTAGAATGAACTGAACATAACTTTCCTACGTTCATATAAGAATAAACAACCAATGTAACTTCCCCCAAGAATGGAAAGTTATACTTCACATATATATGATATGTCAAAATACATTCTATTGTCATGTGTAACTAAAAAAATAATAGGAAATAAAAGAATAACCATATAATCCAGCAATTACACTCCTAGGTATAGGTACACACCCCAATGAACTGAAAGTCTGAAGGGAATTTCTACCTACATATTCATAAGCAGCAATGACTCACAATAGCCAAAAGATGAAAACAATTGTCCATTGATGGATCAATGGATAAACCAAATGTTATATACACACAATATTATTTGCCTTTAAAAAGAATGAAATTTTGATACATGCTAAAACATGGATGGACCTTGAAAATATGCTAAATGAATAAAGCCAGGCAGAAATGGTTAAACACTGTAAGACTTCATATATATATAAGGTAAATCCATACAGTTAAAATAGTGGTTATCAGGGGCTGGAAGCAAGGGGGAATTGGTTAATGGGTATAGAATTCCCACTTAGGATGATCAAAAAGTTCTGCAGATGGATAGTGGTGATGATTATTAGACAACATTGTGAATTATACTGAACACCACTAAATTTTACACTTAAAATGATTAAAATGGTATATTTTAGGTCATCTATGTTTTATCACAATAAAAAAAGGCAATACCTGAGAAAATGGAATGTCATAATCCCTGTAGAAACCAGTTCTTTTTTTGTGAGAACTTTCTGTATGTTCCACATCTGAATCAAGACTGTAGTCTGAACTATCATCACTAGATGGGGAATTATGCTGAAGGGAAGGAAAAAAATGTGTTACATTTGCAAAAAGAAGAAAATTTAATAATTAACATATAAGCTTTAGCCAGATGTGCCAACAAGTAGGTCATAGTGTTCTGGTAGACTCTTAAGTATAACTGAAAAGTCTTTTCCACAGGCCACCAGCACCCCAACTTCTCTGAGATTTTCTGGGGAAAAGTATTTCTTCCTCTGTTTATAAAAGTATTTTTTTCATCATCCCTTTGGCCCAAGGACTTCAAACAGAAGTCATTTGGGCTCTAAAATTATCTTATACTTAAGCTAATCTTAAAGGAAGTAAAACCGGTTCCTCATAACCAAAAGGGGTCACAGAACACAAGTAGGAAATGCATTAATTTATTTCTATGTAAAATGCCTTTACGGTTCTTATTCTATTGTGTGAGTACACTAAAATGAAGATATCAAAACAATGCAAATCACATATATGAAATAAACCTAGCCTGTAAAATTAACCAAAAGTGAAATGAAAGCAACAATTGATTATGATGGAAAAATAGTTTTCAAGTCTGAATGCAATTTCCAAAAGAGTCACCAAATCTCTTACATCTGGTCAAAATACTTACCTTTGCAAGTTGAGTACCCTCTTAAAAAGTTCTCAAAGTTTACAGCGTGAAGACACTAAGCATGTATGTCCTCATTCCTGCATTCTCAGCATGTGGGTATAGTACAAAAGCAATGAAATTCTTTGTAAGTGAATTAATCTCTGATGCTCTTACAGAGGAAGATCTATTTTGCTCCTTTCCATTCTTAAATATTCTTTTAGAGAAAACAATCTGCTTTCTTCACTCACTTTAGTTTTCTCTTTGTTGACTTGATAGGTGATATGGTGTACTTTTTTGAGAATTTTTGTGTTTCCTTTTATACCTCCTTTTGGTAAGAGTGCTGGGAATCCAACCTAGGGCTTGGCACATGCCCTAGGCTTGGCACAAGTTCTGCAATTGAGCTGCTATATGCCTAGTCCCTAACCCTCCTTTTTTGTGGTGAGAATATTGTTTTAGTTATTCGTTTAAGTATTTGAAACTACTGCTTTAACTTTTGTGATTTTACCTATAAAACACAGGTGAATTATTTCTTTCTATATATTTAGTTGGTAAGTACTAAAGTTTAAGGTACTGGAGTTTTGGATATCAGTTGTTATGGATTTGAGCCAAATCATCTTCTTTTTGGTCTGTAGAAATCGCTTTAGTTAATCTTTCTGGAATCCAAATCGGCTGCTGTTCTCCCTGTGGAAACACATAAACAGACCCCCGACTCCAGACAATCACTGGGTCAGGACCTTGGTTAATCTCTCTGGAATCCAAATCGGCTGCTGTTCTCCCTGTGGAAACACACAAACAGACCCCCGACTCCAGACAATTACTGGGTCAGGACCTTTCCATTGTCCTGTTAGAATATCCTTCCAAAGTACCTTGGGCTTATGCACATTTTTTGGACACATATGCCTTTCCGCAGCACTAAGTCCTGATGAATCCAAATTTAAAAAGTTTAGAGTAAAAAGGGTTATTTTAAGTTTATCTTTGGGGAATATATACCCCTTCCCAATTCCTTCTTTTTGCTTTAATAAGTACATTTTAAGAGTTTGATGAGCTCTTTCAACTATGCCTTGTCCCTGTGGATTGTATGGGATTCCTGTTATATGAGTAATGCCAAATGATGAGCAAAATTGTTTAAAAGAGGTAGAAATATAACCAGGGGCATTATCTGTTTTTAACTGTTTTGGAACACCCACAGTGGCAAAATTTTGTAAGCAATGAGCTATAACATCTTTAGTTTTTTCTCCGGCATGAAGGGAGCCCATCAAAAATCCAGAAGAAGTATCAACTGTAACATGCAAATATTTTAATTTTCCAAATTCTGGCAAGTGTGTGACGTCCATCTGCCAAATATGGTTAGGTATCAATCCTCTAGGATTGACTCCAAGATTAACTTGTGGTAAAAAGGTCACACAATTTTGACATTGTTTTATTATTTGTCTAGCTTGTTCCTTAGTTATTTTAAAATGCTTTTGTAAAGTATTAGCATTGACATGGAACTTTTTATGAAAATTTATAGCTTCTTCTAGTGTAGAAAAAATATGTATGTCATGTGTAGTTTTATCTGCTAAATCATTGCCCAAACTAAGGGCTCCAGGCAATCCTGTATGTGCCCTGATATGTCCTATAAAGAATGGATCTTTTCTGTCCCAGATTAGACTTTGTATAGTGGAAAGCAAAGAGAAAACAGTAGAAGAAGGGGAAATCCTACCAGCATCTTCAAGAGATACTATAGCATTAACTACATACTGACTATCAGAAAATAAATTAAATACAGAATCTTTAAACATCACAAAAGCTTGTAAAACTGCATTAAGCTCTACCTTTTGAGCTGATTGTTTGGGTACTAAAAATGTAAAAGTTTGATCAGGGGTAACTACTGCTGCTGTACCATTATTTGACCCATCAGTGAATATATTTGGAGCATTCATGATAGGCGTTTTTCTTGTCATTTTTGGAAAAATTACAGGATGCAATGACCAAAAAGACAATAAAGGATTAAATCGTAAGTGGTTATCAAATGAAACATTAGATTTACACATGATTATTGCCCAAGTATTTAACTCATTAGCTAACTCATCAATTTGATTCATAGTATATGGAGTAATAATTTTATTGGGAGAAATTCCAAACACTCCCTTTGCTGCTTTTATTCCTTTGAGTATTAATTGTCCTACAGCCTCAGGATACCTAGTAAGAATAGTGTTAGGAGAATAAGATAAATGTATCCATAATAATGGACCTTCTTGCCAAAATACTCCTGTAGGAATATTTTTTGTTGGTAGTACAATAAATAATAAAGGCAAACTTATATCAATTCTATCCAAATGCATATTTTCCATATATGTTTCAATGATTTTTAATGCCTTTCTTGCTTCAGGCGTTAACATTCGGGGTGAATTTGGATCTGATGGACCTTTTAGGATATCAAATAAAGGTCCCAACTCTCCTGTTGGTATACCTAAATAAGGCCTTATCCAATTTATGTCTCCTAATAACTTTTGAAAGTCATTAAGTGATTTGAGTTGATCTACTCGTATTTGAATTTTTGGTGGACGGACCATGGTTGAGGATAATAGAACTCCTAAATAATTAATTGGAAAATTTAATTATACTTTATCTATTGCTATCTCTAGATTATAATTTTTTAATAAGTTTGTAAGTGTGGCATAACATTCTAGCAATGTGTTTTTATCTTTGGGTGCTAATAATACATCATCCATATAGTGAAATATTTGTAGTTCAGGATTTTGATTTCTAAGTGGCTGGATTACTTTGTTAACATAAATTTGACACATAGTTGGGCTGTTAGCCATCCCTTGAGGGAGTACTTTCCATTCATATCTCTGATCAGGACCTTCATGATTCAGTGCAGGGATAGTAAATGCAAAACGTGGACTATCCTCAGGATGAATTGGAATTGAAAAAAAACAATCTTTAATATCTATAACTAAAACATACCAGGTTTTTGGCAAAGCAGACAACTGAGGAATCCCTGATTGAGCAGGTCCCATAATAACCATCTCATTATTAATGGCTCTTAAATCTTGCAATAATCTCCATTTACCAGATTTCTTTTTGATGACAAAAATGGGAGTATTATGGGGAGATACAGAAGGTTGTATATGTCCTTCCGCTAATTGTTGTTTGACCAGGTCATGGGCTGCTTGTATCTTTTCTTTAGTCAGGGGTCACTGAGGAACCCATACTGGTCTTTCTGATTTCCAAGTAATTTTTATTGTCTCAGTGGCCCTTTCTGAAAATCCAACCCATGTCTTTCTGTTCCTTGATCTATTTGTATTGGTGCTGCTATACCTTGTTCTTGTTTTTCTAATCTTTTTCCTTTCCTAAAACCTTGTCTAGTCATAATAGTGGGTGCATTTTGGTTGATGTTATTTGTTAATGTCAAACCTAATTGATCTAGGACATCTCGTCCCCATAAATTTACAGGAAGATGATCCAATACATATGGCTTTATAGTTCCTTCACATCCTTCAGGATCCTTCCAATCTAATACCATTGCACTTCTATGGGGATTAGTCGCCACTCCTAGGCCTCGAAGCGTTTGAGTGGCTTGTTGTAATGGCCAATGTTTTGGCCATTCTTGACGAGAGATGATGCTAAGGTCTGCACCTATATCCAGTAGCCCATTAAATTCATGTCCTTGAATATTTAGTTTTAGCATGGGGCGAGAATCTAAATTTAAAGAAAGCACAGCCCAATCTACACCTGTGGAGCCTAATCCCTTGGAACCTCTTTCTACAGTACGACTGGAAAATTTATCATGTAGGCTGGGTATTATTAGTAACTGTGCTATTCTATCTCCTGGTGAAATTACTGATATACCCTTTGGAGAACTGGCTATAATTTTTATTTCACCTTCATAATCGGGATCAATTACCCCAGGACTTATCATAAGTCCTTTTAGAGTAGAAGAGCTGCATCCCAATAATAAGCCTACTGTTCCTTTGGGAAGAGGTCCTTTCACCCCTGTGGGAATGATTTGAACTCCCATCTCTGGAGTTAGTACTGCTCTGGCAGAGGCGCAGATGTCCAACCCTGCGCTCCCTCTGGTTTGTCTGATGAGGGATCTGATGGACAATGTGTCCTGGGCACTACCCTGATGGGGTTGCTGGGTTCCTCCAGTGCTCCGTATATTTGTGGTTTTGGGCCCCGGAGCATTGGGCCCCCCTGTCCATTTTTTGGCAATGGAGCCCGATGCCTTTCTCCACGATATCGTGGATAAACACCTGGTCCTTGTTCGTTTTTTGATAATGGAGTACCCTCTATGGTGGTTTGAGAACGGCATTCATTAGCCCAATGTCTCCCTCTATGGCATCGTGGGCAAATACCTGGTATTCTACTCCTTTGATACCTAGTTTTGTTAAACCCTCCTCCAATGGGGCAATTCCTTTTAAAATGTCCTGTTTGTTCACAATTGTAGCATGTTCTTGGCCTGGCATCTTAAAGCCTGTTTTACTGCAGCTGCCACAATTTGCCCTTGTTCATTAATGTCTCTGGCATCTAAAGCCTGTTTTACTGCAGCTGCCACGACTTGCTCTTGTTCATTAATGTCTCTACATAATTTAATATGTGTGTTTAAATCTTCATGTTTCCATGGTCTAATGATATCTCTGCACCAACGATTCGCTTGCTCATAAGCCAGGTGTTTTAGTAATGGCATTGCTTGTTCTGTATTCCCAAAAACTCTGGTAGCTGTTTGAATAAGCCTATCTACAAATTCAGCATAAGGTTCATTAGCTCCTTGTATTACCTTAGATAATTGACCTTGTAAACCTCCATGTCCTTGTAAAGTCTTCCACGCCTTAATTGCATCTGCAGCAATTTGTGCGTATACGCCAGGATCATATGCAATTTGTTGCTGCTGATCCTCATAAGGTCCCTTTCCTAACAACATATCTAGATTTCTCTGAGGATAACCAGCTGCTGCATATCGCCTAGCCGTCTCCTTGCAAAATTCCTCATTGGCAACCTTCCATAACAGGTATTGTCCTCCATTTAGCACAGCTTTACACATATTAGCCCAATCTGCTGGCGTCATGTTCAAGTTGTTAATGGATTCGACCATGCTTACAGTGAAGGGTGCTTGAGGACCATAGGTTGTTACAGCCTCTTTTAGCTGCTTCACTGTTTTGAAATTTAAAACTTGGTAAAATCGCTGCCCTCCTGCCTCAAATACAGGGCATGTTAATATTTGAGATCTTGTCTCAGGATCCCAACTATCAACTGCAGGGGTTGGGGACCTCCCAGCATATGGAGGTGGCCTTGTTAGTTGGACACTTACGTCCTCTGGTGATAGAAAGGTGTTAGTAGCAGTCTCCTGTAGAGGTGGTGCTGTTGGTTGGACACTTACACCCTCTGGTGATAGAAAGGTGTTAGTAGCAGTCTCCTGTTGTAACTTTCCCCCTGATGGCTTTTTCTGTTTTACACTTTCTTTCTCTGTCTGACTAGCTTGAGAGACCTTCTCTTTTACTTGAATCTTTTCCTCTGTCTAACTTGAGAGACCTTCTCTTTTACTTGAATCAATATGTCTTCTTCCTCTACCATTGTCTGAACTGAAGGCTTTGGACTAAGCAAACAAGATATGAACGTCCACAATGGCAATGTGCCAACTGGCAGAGTCCCTGGGCTTTTCTTTTCTATTCTTTTTAAATCTTCACCATGATGGTTCCATTGTGATATATTTAACAACTCCTCCTTAAAAAGCCATGGGCTACATTTTTGTATTGTATCAACGTATGCCCTGATTGTTCTTGATTTTACTGAGATGCCTCCTTCCTCTAGCAATTTACTTAACACTCTTTCAGTTTGTTTTTTACTAATTTCTGATCCCGTATTTCTACTATAATACAACCCAACAAGATAACGCCTAACAAAACTGAAACAGAGTGAAACAAAATTGGAACAACACAAAATCATAATAGCCTCCTGAAATGTCCATCCGTCCTTTCTCCCTATCTGTTCCTCAGATGTGAGCGGTTTTTCTTCCATCTTACACATCTCCAGGGACAGGCAACTTAAAACAAAAGTGAAACAAAATAACAAAAGAAGAATCTTAAAATGGCTACCCATCCTCTTGCCCTGCCCTCAGGGGCGAGCAGTTCACTTACCCTCAGTCGCTCCCCGTGCGAGCCACCAAATGCACTAAATTATTTTTTTTTCTACAGCACTTTTTTTTTTTGGTACTGGGGATTGAATTCAGGGGCACTCCACCATCGAGCCACATCTCCAGCCCTATTTTATATTTTATTTAGAGACAGGGTCTCACTGAGTTGCTTAGCCCCTTGCTATTGCTGAGGCCAGTTTTGAACTCAAGATCCTCCTATCTCAGCCTCCTGAGCTGCTGGGATTACAGGTGTGTGCCACCACACCTGGCTCTACAGAACTGTTAACATCATGTCACCTTATGATGAGTAAGGAGGGCAAATGACATACAGTTCAAGGACTAACATGCAAGCCACACAATGACTCCGAAAGTATTCAAATAGTAACAGAAAGAATTTAAGCACTTAAATGACTTCCTCTAAACAGACCACCCTTTTCACACTTTTTTGCTTTGGTATTTTCTGTGCCTCTTTGGACAATCTTACCTGTCTTTGAAGATTTACCACAAACTTCCATCTAACAAAATATACTTACTGAAGGAAGTATAGCACACAGCAATTGATGAAGATATTTTGGAAAATTTTATAATACTGTAACAAAATGTTTGCCTTATGATATTAAGTAAAATGCAAATATAAAATAAACAGTATTATTTCCAATATCAAGGAAACAGAAAAATAACTGGAAAGAAATATACTAAAATGTTAATTAACACTGGTTACTCTAGTAAGTCATTATTTAATTTTTAAATAATTACCTTCATGTTACTTTGTAACACAATATAGTATACTATATTAATAGTATGATTAATAGTCAGCTGGATACCTGTAATCCCAGGAACTGAGGAAGCTGAGGCAGGAGGACAGTAAGTTTGAGGCCAGCCTCACTAACTTAGCAAGACCCTGTCTCAAAATAAAAGAAAATAAAAAGAGTTGGGGGTGTGGCTCAGTGATAAAGGTACTCTGGGTTAAATTCCTAGTATACCCCCCCAAAAAAAATAGGAATAAAAGATAAAAGAAAATGTATTCTGGACAAAATTCAAACAAACTGAAAAAAATGTCTCCTGGACTGTCTGCCTTATATCTCTCAGACATCCAGTCCACCCTGCATGATTAACTTTCCCAAAATGCCCATTGTGTAACATGCCTTCTCATCTGAAATGCTTCCCTCAGACTAGCACATCAATACCAGGCAGCTCTGTGTTTGTTTTCCAAGATCTCAAAATTTATCTACCTCCTTAAGTTCTGCCTCCTTTACAATGAGAACATATCTTAATCTAGCTCTTCTCGAGGGTTCCTTCATATATAAAATGCTCCTGCAAAATCTGGTCTGGCTAGTTCTTCCTCATCATTGGAATTATTTTCTCCTTTCTCTTCCTTTGAAATCTCATTTTTTTACATCAACTCCAATTCTTATTACTGTCTTCCTTTTCTTATTGTAGTGCATGCTCGTGTGCAGGCGCACGTTCTGAACCAAACGATTAGCACAATGCCAGATGTCTTCCCTATATCTCTATGCCATGGGAGTTAGCACATTATACACTGTTTGATTTGTTTTTTGTGATAATGGGCATTGAACACAAGGGTGCTCTACCACTGAGCTATATCTCTAGCCCTTTATATTTTTCACTTTGAAATAGGGTCTAAATTGTCAAGGCTCAAACTTACCATCCTCTTGCCTCAGCCTCCCAAATTACTGGGATTATATTGTGTGCACCACCATATCTGGCTGATAATTGTTTTATGTTTATAATCTGTCCCCCTAATCTCACCAAATACAATCAAGTCAGAATTATGCATTTTCCTTCTTCTTTCATCAAAGTTTTTACCATAACATTAGCCAACAATTTTTTATGTACTACCTGTCTAGTTCAGACTAGTTGAAAATTTAAGACAAATAAACAAACAAATCTTATAGGGAGGAAGTTTATTAAGTTGACCAAAGGTAAAGAGACCAGGGACTAGCAAGAGTGTCCCCTGAGGAAGAGGCACTGACATTAGGATAGTCTTCTCTGCCTTCCTACCCTGAGCTTGTGTGACCTTCTAGTAACCTTGTGTAACCTTCTAGTAACCTTGTGTAACCTTCTAGCTTGTCTAACCCCAACAAAGGAAAGAAAAAAATACTCTTCCACAGCAGCCAATAGTAGAGTCCTAGACTGCAAACAAAAAAAGCATACTGGTACAATTTCCTAGTATGCGTCTAACAAAAGTTATAGATTTTCCAGCAAGATGGATTGCTAGATTGCACTCTCCATATTAACAGTGGTATAACTGTCGTTGCTTTCTTATGCAAGATCAAAAAAAATGTGGTGTATACTTTGAACCAACAGGTAGGATTTGTGAATTCAGTAGAAATGGATCCTCTTTTATGCCACATGGAATTTGTGCTTTTTGTCCCTGAAATTTTAAGGTTCTTCTGGGCCTCAGGTCTTAGACTAAGGGGCAGAAAAGAGTACAGACTCTTAATTGAAAAGGCACAGTAAAAGTCTTTATTCTTAGCCTGGTGCGGTGGTGCATGCCTGTTATCCCAGTGGCTTGGGAGTCTGGAGCAGAAGGATCTCAAGTTCAAAGCCAGCCTCGGCAACACAGTGAGACCCTGTCTCTAAATACAAAATATGGCTGGGGATGTGGCTCAGTAGTTGAGTGCCTCTGAGTTGAATTCCTGGTACCCCCACCAAGTCTTTATTATTTTTACATTTTTTATGTAGGAAAGCTAATTTATTCCTTAATGTTCTATGACCTTGGATCATAGTTAAGAAAATTTCTTCACCCTTCACTCCCAGGTATTATAAGATCTACAACTATGCTTTATTCTATCACTTACATAACTACTATTTTTTAACATTTAAATATTTGATCTACCTGGAGTTTATCCTAATGTTAAGAACTGATTCTGCTTTTATGTTCATATCATTACCTAATTCTCCCAGCACTACTTATTTTAAAATTCATTATTTTTCTTTCTGTCTCTCTATCTAAGGTATCTGCCTATTTATTTAAAGTGCTGGGGGTTGAACCAGGGCCTTATACATACTAAGCAAATGCTGTACCCCGAGCTACATCCCCTACCCCCAAATCCATCTTTTTATGCTAGTTTGAGGTGCTCCTCTGTCATATATGACATTTCCACGTGTATTAGGTCCATTTCTGAGTTTTCTTTTTCGTCCATTGGCCTATCTTTCTCCATGCACCAATATCGGGCAAATTATTCAATAACAAGGGCTTTGTTATGCTTTAATATGTTAGGATCACCCCACATAGTCTTCTTTCTCATGTTTTCTTATCTATTCTTGGGTGATAGTTTTATAATCCACAAATTCTTTAATACTCCTCCATTCAAAAAGTAGGGATTAATTCCTCTCCCCTTGATTGTGGGCTAGTTTTAGTAACTCAGTTCTAAAAAAATATAACATGTCAAAAAGTGATGGTATATCACTTCTCGTATTAGGTTATAAAAAGACTGTAGGTTTGATCTCAGGTATTCTCTCTTCTTCTCTTTCACTCTTATTTCAATGGCTCTGGGGAAAACCAGCTATCATCCTGAGGGTGTTAAAGAGTTTTTGGCAAAACCCTATGGCAAGAGATTATAGGATCTTTGAAGGTTTGGGAAAAAAAATCCTTTCTTGAAAATATTTGGCCCTTATATTTCTTAGTAGGAGAGATTATGAACTAAATTCTTCAAAAAAGTCCATTAGACTTTTTGACTCTCTGAAACCAACTTTGTAAGGTATATTTTTCTAGAAAATTATCCATTTCATCTAGGTTTATTTTCATAAAATTATACAAATAAATTTCTTATAGTTTTAATTTCCTCTTTTTATTTAACTTCATTTTTATCTAATTTTTCTTTTCCTTTTTTTCTTGACCAGTTTGGCCAATGACATATGTTTTGTCTTTTTTTAAGACCTATTATTTTTTCATTCTAACTCATAAAGTTCTGTTTGTAACTTTAGTACTTTCTGTTTTATTTTCCCTTTATTGTTTTTCAACTTGGGAACTTAGCTGATCTTTTTGTTTTTTCATTTTTATTGCTATGAACACTTGATGCTATAATTTTTTTTTAGAGAGAGAGAGAGAGAAAGAGAGAGAGAGAATTTTAATATTTATTTTTTAAAATTTTCAGCGAACACAACATCTTTGTTTGTATGTGGTGCTGAGGATCGAACCTGGGCCACATGCATGCCAGGCGAGCGTGCTACTGCTTGAGCCACATCCCCAGCCCAATGCTATAATTTTTATTCAGATAATTATAGTTAATAACTATAAGATGACAACAATTTTATACTGATTACTACATATTCTTCAGTTTTTCCATTCTTTACATTCTTTAGGAATGAATAAATGAATAAACAGATGGACAATGCCAGTGCTGCTAATTACAGTCATAATGTTCTAATACACTAAATTCTGCCCCTTTTATAGTCATCATTTATTCTTGGTTTCACAGATAAATATTTGTGTGCATGTAGTAGGCTGATCCTACCCATCCCCAAGTGATTTTGGTTATCTGAATTTGTTTTCTAGCAGATTTGCATGGCAACAATATTTCCTGAGTTCTTGCACATACACTCTGTCTGAGAACTGTACATTTGAAGGGCAGTATTTTAACTGGATATAAAATCCCCAGCTTGCATTTTATTACCTTATTGAAATTTGTCAATCCAACAGAAGATAAATGGATTGACAAATTTTTAAAAACGTCTATATATAGATTCTTATTTTCTTTCTTTAATAAGGGCCTTGGGGTTTTGTGTTATTGTTGTTGTTGTTTTGTTGTTGTTGTTGTTGTTTTGCTTGAATGGCCAAGGAATTCTTTTTTCCAATTCTATTTTTTTGTTTAGTCATAGTTCATATTATTTTCCTAATTTTTTAACATTCTGAAATATTGGATTAAATGGTTTTGTATGCTTGTCGGCATTCTTTCTTTTCCAAAGGAACATTATTCTCTCATTTTTCTTGTAACAATTTCTCTGGAATATGACCAGAGTCCTGTCTTGATTCTCATGTAAAAGAATGCATGGGGTGCCAGCCAAGAAAGATTCCCTAGAGTCAAGCCTTTGGGGCTGCCTCTTCTGTTGTCAATGCAAAGTATTAAGAACACAATCAAGTGTCCTCTGAGACATGCTTCTTCCATCTCCTTCCCCATCATTTCCTTCTTTGGCCCTGGTGTGTTTGTGACTCAATTTAGATTCTACTCTCAACAGTTGCCTTCTCAGTGTGAGGCTCTGTCCTAGGAAAGGGATTTGGTTGATTAGTATGAGGAATTAATTAGGCCCACTTCAGCACCATCCAATTTTCTGTCGTCACCTGATATTCAAGTGTGAACTAGAATCACAAAGCCCTGAATGTTTTTCTGTTGCTGCTCTCATACAGATCCATGAGATTCCAGTGTTGAGCAGGGACCCCTCCACTTGAGATGGCAGTTTGTTTCCTGGGAGTTCCTTGACCTTCTCTCTGCTCTGTTTCACACAGTTGCTGACTCTATACTGGTCTTATTGCTGTCTGTATGGTTTGGCTATTTGTATTTTTGAGGTTTGTGGGGATAACTTGTTATTTTATTTTGCCAATGAGTTTTTAGTTTTGTTTTACTAATTGCAATGGGGGAAATTCAGGGAGTTTTTAAAACTACCCCACCACTGCTGCCAGGATAGGATCCCTTCTTCCCAGTCCAAACTCACATTATTTTCCATCAAGCAAGTTATTGTTTTCTTGATAGCACTTGTTTTTCATTTATTTATCACCTTTCTCCTTACCATTTTTCTATAAAAGCAAACAGTTTGAATCACCACTCTAACCCTGGCATATAACAGGCTTCCACAGTAAGCACGGAATAATACACATGGATAATCCACACGAACGAATGAATGAACAGACAATGCCAGTGCTGCTAATCCACATTTGTAGAGCATAAAATTTTATTTTCTTAACCTTCTAATATCCTTGCCTACAATCACTCATCCAGAAGAGATTATATTTTAATCTGAATTAAGCGGGGGTTAGATTTACCTTTTTTTTTTAAATTTAACCTTTATTTATTTATTTTTTTAATGTGGTACTTAGGATTAAACCCAGGGCCTCACATGTGCTAGGCAAGTGCTCTACCACTGGCCACAACCCGAGCACTACCTTGATTATTTTTTGAATCTCTAAAATAATTCATAAAATATTTATGCTTAGAAAATGTGTTACTCAATTAAATAAAAATATATAATCCATATATTTTACAAAGAAAATAGACAATGGATTATATTTTCTAATTTTCAGTATATTATATTTTATTAAAAATTGTCAAAAGAACAGTGTGTACAACTAACCTTATGTTTCTCACGTTTTCTCCTTTTGGATTTCTTCTTCTCTCTTTCTTTCTTGTGTTTTTTTCTTGATTTTCTGTAGGATTTCTCATTTTTCTGTTTTTCATCCTCTTTTGCTTCATGCTCTTGTGTTTCTTCAAATCCTGCATCATCTATTTCACCATCTTCTAATTCATCATCTTCTCTATACAAGACAATGAAAATTTAATTTTCAAATGTCAGTTCTAAAATAAATCTTATAGAAATATTTTCAAAAGAAAAAAAAAGCATGTGTCAAGAATTTAAGATATATTCATTTTGATAATGGACTGAAAGTCATGTTCCATCAAGGGCCTGAGAGTAAATATTTTTATATATGCAAGCCATATATTTTCTGTTGCAAATTCACTGTCTTCTTTTTTTTTTTTTTTTTTTTGGGTGCGGGATTGAACCCAGGGCCTTGTGCATGAGAGGGAAGTAACTCTACCAACTGAGCTATATACCCAGCCCTCATCTTCTTCTTTAAAAAAAAAAAAAAAAAAAAAAAAACTTGAGAAATATAAGAACCATTCCCAATAGCCAAAGTCTGCCAAACTCTAATTTAGATTAAGATCACTGACTCTCCCCAAAATAATGAATGAACAATGAATACAGTACTATCCCAAAGTATTACAATAGTTACCATCTACTACAATACCTTCAAGAGGCAAAAAAAAAAAAAAAAGCTAAAATAAAATACTTGAGGAAACACTCTAAATACAAGAAAGTATTTTTAACTTAGTGACCCATATGCAGCAGAATAGCTTTAAAGTAAATTAAATTCGATATTTTAAAATAAATTCAATGGATATTTCTTAACAAAGTAAACTTCAATAAGCAAGCAAATTTAATACATAATAAGTAATAAAACCAAGCTACAAAAGAAGAATTATTAATTCCTCTTTTGAATTATCTTGAAGACTTAAAAAATAATCCAGTAAATCTTAATGCATATATTAAAAGAGACAATAAATCTGTAAAAAATATTCACAGTAAAATTTTACATTTAATTCCACTTTCCAAATACTAGTATCTTTGCTATTTTGGAAGTTGAATCTTAGAAACTGACTTTTCATGTTGATTATGAAATTTTTATAGTTAATAGAAGACAAAATGTTTATTATTTTAAATGCAAATAAACCAACTGATATAATTGGAAGATGAATACATAAAACAATTTTAACACTTACTCATGCTTCCATACACTACAGTTTGAAAAGCTACAAACTACAAATAGTACATGCTGGTCTTTGTATAACTGGAAGCAAATGAGAAACACCCAAACTATGGTGTGTACATTTTAAAGATAATTTAAAATTACTTGAAACATGTAATTTCTAAAATGCAAAATTGGTCATGTCACTCTTCAGCTAAACATCTTCAATAATATCTCAAATTTGGGAATAGAATAAGTAGACTCAATAAGACAGATCAAGAGCTGATAACTGTGGGGTGTGTCTATGAGGATTCATTTTACTATTCTTTATCTGTTTAAGTTTTGTATAATAAAAAGAATCTTCACTGGTTCCTTTCTGGACTGAGGATATTGAATCTCCTTTTTATAACTGAGTTTCTGCTTATCCAGTTACTTTCCATTCCTCAAGTCCCCAAGCCTTAAACTTTGTCTAAAAACTCACTACCCTGCTCATCTCAGTATCCACCCATATCTGGTCACCTGGCTAATACTAACAGAATACTTAGGACCCAGCTTACAGTTTAGATGTTATTTCTGCTAAGATACCTCCTTATCACCCAGGTTTAGGTGAAATACTCCATTCTAAGCACCCCCTAATAACCCTCCATTTCTCTTATCCCTGTACTCTGCACATTATGTTCAAATGCCTTGTTTATTGGTTGGTAAATGTGGGGTACATATGCAGCCCTAGCATCTAGCATGGTACCCCTTCTGTTTACTGAATGACTGAATGTATAATATCCATTACTTTTGCATTCTAGAACAAGTACATGATTCCACCCTTAAGTAAATGTTATAATTTTTCCCAGTTTCTATTAAAAAATCAAGATGGACTTGAAAATTTCTTGTGAAGCAGGCTTGGCATTCTGTTTAATAAAAATGTTCTGAACTTTTATAAAACTCTAAAACTTTATGGCCCAAGAAAATCAGTGCATATAATCACCAAAAGACAATTATAAGAATGGTTTCAGCAGCTTTACTAATAATAGCAAATAATTTTAAATAACCCAAATCTCCATCAGCAGGTGAATAAATATATAAATTATGCTTTATTTATATAATAAAATAATATGGGTAAAAAATTAACTACACAAAATAATATGGATGAGTCTCAGAGAAATAATGGGTGAAAAAGGCCAGACATAAGACTGTACTAAGTCCATTTGTATGCACTTCAAGAACAGACAAAACTCATCGCAGTGATAGAAGCCAGCGTAACAACTGCCTTTTGGGGATATATAGCTGGCCAGAAAAAAAAACAAACAAAACAAAAGAAAAAAGAAAGCAGTACTGATTTCTGGGGTGTTGAAATATTTTGTACATTGATCTGTGTTGTGATTACTACATGTATAAGTATGTATAATTTGTGAATATTAATACAGTAGTACATTTAAAAATCATTCACTTTGCTATGTTATACCACAATAAAAATTTAAATATAAATGACAAAAAATATCTATGGGTGTTGATCATTTCTTTTACTACCTCTATCCTCCAACTTGAGCTCCTTAAAGTAATTAAAAAAAAAAACAACCTTATACCTAGAAATCAGAAATTCATATTTAGCATTTTGACTAGAGCTATTTAAAAACATCAAGTACTCAAGCTGAAATGCTACATGCAAATTTATGACCTACTTTACATCAATGTGAAATATGAGCTTTTCATATTTTTTACTAGGATAAAACACTACAAGTTTTAAACTTTTTTCTATCTTCTCCCATAGCCTATTTATCATTTTAGCATTCATACAAGAACAGATATAAACATGAATTTCTGTTTCAATACAAAAATTAGATAGAAAGATGAAATAAAGAACAATGATTCACGTGTCTATGAACTGCTTCTACATGCTTTAAAAAGTAAGTTTGGAGCACATATGAAAGTATGCATAACATAACGGAAAGAGAAGACTTAGTGGAAGGAAAGTTGGATTCTAATTCCAGCCATCATCAAAATAAAATAAAGCTTTCTTTACTATTGAGCAACTAGTAATTTGTCAGATACCAACCTGTGATCTTGAGATAAAACAAGAGAATAAGAGAATCAAGAAATGCTTAGCATTCTCTAGATGTTGAATGAGCTCAACACTATTTTGTTTACTAAACCTAGATAGTTTTTAAAAACTTAATAAATCAAAAAGAGAAGTTCCCAGGTCAAATATATATATGGGACTTCTTATTAACATGGAAATAAGAGTGATTATAGAACTGGGGTTTGTGGCTCAGAGGTAGAGTGCTCCCCTAGCATGGGTGAGGTACTGGGTTCGATCCTCAGCACCACATAAAGTAAAATAAAGACATTGTATCCACCTATAACTAAAAAATAATTTTTTTAAAAAAAGAGTGATTATATTCTCTTCAGGAAAGTGGCATATTCATGTTCATGTACCAGACACCAGTAAATAACTATCCAGTTAGTACACAAAATTACCTTTCAAAGAGTTTATCTCTAAGTCAAATCCACAGAGACAGAAAGTAGATTAGAGGTTGCCAGGTAGACTAGAGGGAAGAATGGGAACTGATTATCAACAGATCTGGGTTTCTTTGTGGAAGTGATGAAAATGTTCTAAAATTAGATAGTGGTAATGATTGCATAACCCCAGATATACTAGAAACCAATGGATTACATAGTTTAAAGGGTGAATTGTATCTCAGTGAAGTTTAAAAAATATTTTTTTCTCTAGACTTATATTCTAGATTGAAGACATTAGAGAAAACCATAATATGCAATGGTATAAGTAAAAGACTCTGAAATTGGTCAGTATCCTCACCATTCACATGTTCTTATTCTGAAGGTAATTACTCACTAAAGCCTTATAAATTGATATGTCTCAACAGGGGTATTCTAGTTTTCACCGTTCTGGGTATTGCTGGCTATTGAGATAAATTAACCTGAACCATTTAGTCTTATGTTTCTGCCTTTTCTTTACGATTGCCTAAAGGCTCCTTTTACAAACTACAGATCAGAAACTGAGTCTTCTGGAAGAAATGCAAAAGCCTCAGTAAGAGACTACACATACTCCTGATGGATGCCATTACAAGACATTACTTACAAATATGAACTTCCTGAGACAGGCTGACATATCACCACAATATCCACAATTTGTGCCTGTGTCAGGATTTCTCCAGAAGCAGACAACATAATACAACAAAATGCTTATCCTAAAAACAGAAAAACATGGCTTTCCAGATGCTTGAAACCACCACTTGGGACACTTTTCTTCCATGCTTTTGTACTGATTTATGCTGTCATTTCTCTCTCACCACGGTGATAAGGTAGAAAATGGCTTTATGCTAGTGCCTTGCAGCACTGTATGAGCTCCACAGAGGTCACACAGGTCAGGCTCAGCACAGGCTGGCTTAAACCTGGGCAGACTGCCTCTGACCTCCAGATATGGCATGATTCTACTACCAGGCTGTACCTCGCCCACCTCCCTAGTTTGTGGGAGGCTGCTGGGAGGCAGTTTCTCATCCACACTCCTGGCTTCCAATGAGGTCTGAGATTTACCACAGCTGCAGGATAAGTGTTTAGCTTTAGTAAGGAAACAGGCTAAGAAAAGTGTTTAGCTTTAGTATGGAAACAGCTCCTCAACAACAGAGTGCCCACCACACATGCTGCAGATCATCTGACTCCTTCAGGTTTGGTGTTGTCTTGTGGGAAAAGAGACTCGGGCAGCTGACACTAGGCAGGCTGTGCCTCTATTGTCCATGTAACAAGTGTCGGAATCCTACTGGTTCAACCAGTCAACATGCTTGACGGATAACTAGCTCAGCTAAGACTTTTCCCATGCCTACTCTGTCTTCTCTCAACATATGCAGTTTATGAAAAGGCAGCAGAATACAACGGACACTAGTATGGCAGTATGTAAAAACGTGGATGTAGGGGCTGGGGATGTGGCTCAAGCGGTAGCGCGCTCGCCTGGCATGCGTGCGGCCTGGGTTCGATCCTCAGCACCACATACAAACAAAGATGTTGTGTCCGCCAATAACTAAAAAAATATTAAAAAATTCTCTCTCTCTCTCTCTCCCCCCTCTCTTTAAAAAAAAAAAAAAAAAACGTGGATGTATAAACAATGTGATTCTGCAATCTGTATACAGGGTAAAAATGGGAGTTCATAACCCACTTGAATCAAATGTATGAAATATGATATGTCAAGAGCTATGTAATGTTTTGAACAACTAATAATAATTTTAAAAAAATGAATGGTCCTCGTAAATCCTAAACTCCCTCCCTAGCCTACATCTCCAAACTACATATTTTCCTTCAAGGAAAACATTATCTGGTCATAGTGAGGCCATGACAACAACTTAACATGAATTTTTGAGATTTTATGTTTATCCCCAAACTGGACCTTGGATATTTACATCCTAGATGGCTTATCTTACTTAATTCATTTATCCTTTATAGCTTCAGAAATAGCTTCTTTTTACAAATTACCACAGGAACAATCTGAGGAGCATCTACAACTTTATCTTTTATCCACTATATTCTTACACCCTCTGAAATATATTTATAGCTAGCAGAAATTTTACCTTTTTGACTATCTACAGTTAATATAATTTTTACTTGACTGGTTTTACTCTTCAAGCCAATCTCAGAATCTGTCAAAGCCTCACATCTCAACTCAAATATAGATTCCTTCAGGAATGAGACTTAATACAAAAATATGAGCAATATTATTCATACATACATACACACAGCATACTGTTTTTCAGTCCTAGGGATCAAACTCAAGGCATTCTACCACTGAACTACATCCTCAGCTCTTTGTTTTTATTTATCTATATTTGGTACTAGGGATTGAACTCAGAGGCACTTAACCAATGAGACACATCCCCAGCCCTTTTTTAATTTTTCATTTTGAGACAGGGTGTAACCCTCCACAGTCCTATAACAACCTTTGCAAAAATCACTTAATTTTATGTAAGATATCTCTACCCTAGAGATAACTGAGAATTCTTTCTTCTTTTTTGTTTTGTTTTGTACTGGGATTTGAATCCAGGGGTGCTTAACCACTGAGCCACATCCCCAGCTCTCTGCCTTTTTATATATTTTATTTATTTATTTACTTTGGTTCCAGGGATTGAACTCAGGGATTGTATTTTATTAGAGACAGGGTCTCACTGAGTTGCTTAGCGTCTCACCGTTGCTGAGGCTGGCTTCGAACCCAAGATTCTCCTGTCTCGGTCTCCTGAGCTGTTGGGATTACAAGCACATGCCACCGCACTTGGCTTATATATTTTATTTTGAGACAGGGTCTCACCAAGTTGCTCAGGACCTCACTAAGTTGCTGAGGCTGGTTTTCAAATTGCTGTTCTATTGCCTCAGCCTCTCCTGGGATTATAGGCTTGTGCCACCATGCCCAGTGAGAATTCTTACTTCTGTTACAAGTAATAACTCTTTTGTTTTTTAAAATATATGTGGCCTTCCTAATCTTTATTTCTTAAATCAGTAACATATTTATTTACTCATATTTGTTTCATCAAAACCTAACTTACACAATAACTTGTTACATTAACTCTCTGTACCAACATAATAGAGCAGTTTATGTATTTCCTTCTCAAGGCTTTCAGGAGAACATGCTTCCCTAGGAGTGTCTCAAAGAATACTGACCCTGGATTGAGGTCATATAACTTGAAAATTTGTCAAGCCAGATGCATGGCACATGCCTGTAATCCCAGTGATTCAGGAGGATAAGACAGGAGGATCAAAAGTTTGAGGCCAGCCTCAGCAATTTAGCAAGATCCAAGCAAACTTATTATATATTTTTATATATACATATATATTATATGCATATATGTATATATAAAGGGGGGGTCTTGATGAGAAGCTGGGATCTTGCTACATTTATTTTGTAAATGAAGGAAAATAAAGGGGCTCTGATATCCAGTCAGGCTAAGTGCAAGGCCTTCAGTTAGATCCTGCACAGCAGTGAACACACAACTTCCTTGTTCTGTATCTACAGGATGAAGGGTTTCCAGCATGTGTGTCCCAAGGTGTGCCTGATACTCATATCCTAGTTCAGATCTCTTGAAGCAATGCCTGTGCTTTCACGACATGAGCAGAAAAACGATCAAAGGGAAAAATTTCTAGTGCCCAGTATGAAGAGACACACTGAATTCATTTCTTGCCCAGCAAGCACCATTAATATGGCTTTTGTTTTTTTAAGATATGATGGCATTTGCATTATTCCTAGAAAGGTATTAATAGTCTTTCATTAAAGAAACTATAAAACATGTAAATAAATCACAGTTAAAATTCTAAAAATTAAGATGAGGCTATGGCTGAGATAAGTGAACCCAGAAACCCTAATTTTTAAATGCAAACTACAGATATGGCTCTGAGCTTCAGAAAGATAGGCATAAGACAACAGTGCCTCCAAGAAAAGAGAACATTTACTCCAAGAGTAGCATTTTTTTCTTGAAATAACAAAGAAATTTCTGAGTCCTCATAAATATTACCTGAAAAGTTACTATATACTGTATACTTGATATGATAATGCTCACAACATATCCCAATTTGAGCCAAGGACAGACTGCCAAGATTCAATTAAGAAGAAACAATATGAGAAAACAAAGTAAAACTGTCTAAGCATACAACTGTCTGATGTTCTTAGTCCAGGGACAAAATCTACAACATCTGGACTAGCAATTCTAAAAACTGTATGTATAGAAGAATTTTACCTCTCCAGCTTTAAAAAAAATAAAACAAAAAAGCCATTTTTTTCATTTAACATGTATTTATTCACCACCTTCTCAGTAGGGAGACAATGATAAATGACATACAACACAACAACAAAGAGACATGGTTTCTTCTCTCATAAAATTTTTAATCTAGTGATGGGAAAGAGCAATCAAAGAATCACACAAATAAATACAAAATTAATAACCATACAAGTATATGAAGGAGGAAACGGTGCCCTCAGAGCACTGCAGCAGGGGGAAGCCACCTGTCAGAAAAGTCTGGAATGCTTTCCCTGAGGAAGCAGGGATGAACTGAAATGGGCATTAACCTGAGTGACAGGCGCAGGGAGAAAGACCTCTGCACACAGAGGAAACTTCTGTGAGATATTTCTGTGAAGAAAGCATGACATACCACAGGAACTGAGACAAGGCTAATGTCACTGGATCATAAACTAAACATAAATTGCTTTAATTCCTCCAGAATTATTAGGGTTTATTAGGCAGCCTCCAGAGTAGACCAGTTGACAAGGGATTTGGACTTCTAAGATGCTATAGAGTTTTCTTTTTATTGAACACTTTTTTTTTTCAAGTGCTCAAAGAACATTAGTCCAAACCTTTTAGCAAACACTTTTTTAAAGAGGTAAAAAGAGACAAGGAGCAGTGGTGCACACCTGTAATCCCAGCAACTCAGGAGGCTGAAGCAGGAGGGTCACAAATTCAAGGCCAGCCTCAGCAACTTAGCAAGACCCTGTCTCAAAATAAAAAAATTAAAAAAGGATTGAATATGTAATTCAGTTGTAAAGTGCCCTTGGGTTTAATCCCAAGTACCAAAATTTTTTAAAAAATCAAATCATACAAAAGTGGAAAATGGGTCTCCTTATTTCATTTCTGGGTCCCAGAGAAGTTGATGAAAAGTTGATACAGATTAAGTAACAGCTCACTATGTAAAATCTGCCTCCATATAAGTCAGAAGAAGCCAAAAAAGAAGAATGCTGGAAGAAATAAAAACTGTTATGTTATTAATTCTAGGACTTGCAATTCAATTAAAACAAACAAACAAAAAAGCTAAGCACCAACATCCATGAGAAAGAATAGAATAGAGTGAGGTTAAGTGTTGCCAGAATAGCAATTTCCACCTACAGTTAAAGAAGATCCAAACAAAAAACAAAAAACTCTCTCAACTAAGGAGCACCCAGGATTCTGGCAAAATGAGGTCACCTGAACCTGGAAATTAAAATAGAAGTGTTAAGCAAAACACTGCTTTCAACTTGTGGCATGTTCAAACTGATTACTTTTAAAAAATCAAAGTGAGATAGATGATTAAAAAACTCTAAAATCATTGTGTTTAAATTCTACTTCCCAATCATATACTATCTATAAAAACCTGACAAATTATCCTACTCCTCTCTTATCCAGTCTTCTCTACAGAATGAGATTCATCAATTGTCTTTACCATCGTAAAGCGATTGAAGGATTAAGCAAAATCAATTTAGGTAATCCCCTAGCATAGTTCCTAGAGACAACCCTCAGCTGAAGTTTCTTTTCCTCTTACGTTTTATCAGAAATCTAAAAGTCTGAATAGAACATGTATACTAGACTGCAGGTACTTTCATAAAATGGAAATGGGAAAGGCTATAAATCCAAGCAGCAGGGATTCTATGGAGTAATTTCTCATTTTTTCCTTTGGAAAATAACAGTGAAAAAATATCTAGAACAGGTAAAAGCAGAAAGGAAGCAGGGTAGGCAAAGTTAGTCTGTTCCTCCAGGCACTTCTAGTACATCATATCATGCTATGCACTGTTCAGAAGCTACACTGAAAGACTCCCATATTCCAAATTAGACTTTGGCCCAAGTATTAAGCTAAAGCGAGCTTCTCCAAATCTGCCTTGGTCTAAGTCATTTCTCTTATGCCAGAATGTCACATAATCAGGGATTGCCTAATCATATGGTACTATTATATCAAATATGAAAAATTCATGTCATTTAGATTTACAATCAGTATTCATTTTTAAAATTAAGATGTTTAGGCACAACTTGAAATGAAAATCTCTTTGTGTGCTTTATAGGCTGAAATTTCATTAATTAGATGAAGCATAAATATACATTAATGCAAAAGGAAAATGTCACAATGATTTTGTGTAAAAAGGAAATTAATTTTTTAAATAGGCAAATAAAAAGAGTGCAGTAAAATTGAGTTAGCTAATGACTTCAGGAAGTATATCCTTTATTAGTTAACAAGTGATGATAAAATTTTTATGAAAAATGAATAATAATAGATATTATCATAATTCTAATTTGTTCAATTGTCTGGTATGTTACTTTTCATAACACTTCTAAAAACTATCTTTAAATTATTTTATCCCATTAATTAAAAAAAAAAAACCCAAACCAAATAAACCAAAAAACCTTATACTTCAGGACTCTTCACGTTTTTTGGATGAATTAAAAGCAATGTTAACTTTACCACTTCAAAATTCTGTAAGGAGAGAACCTTGAAAGTTATGTATCATATAATCCTTTCCAGATATTACACACACACACACACACACACACACAAAGATGTTACAGGAAAAAGGTTCTTCCAATGATTTTGTTGGAAATAAAACAGATCTTCTATTTAATATCTATCATGTGCATTAAAACAATCACAAGAACAATCTAGCAATTGGCAACACTAAGAAATTATTGTTATTGTACTATAATTTCCTACTTTTAAAATGAGACTGCTAGGTCTGGTTGTACATGCCTATAATCCCAGTCACTGGAAGGCTGAAGCAGGAGGATCTCAAGTTTGAGGCCAGCCTGGGTAACTTAGCAAGACAAAATAAAATAAAAGAGGTTAGGGATATAGCTCAATATAACTGAGTGAATTGCCAGGTTCAACCTCCAGTACCACAAAAAATAAATAAGTAAAAATAAAACGAGACTAACAAAATTTCCAAAAATAAATGATAAGAACTTCTGGGACAACAATTCATATTTATTCACATATGCCAAAAGTTTTCTCTGTGATGAGCATACTGACTTTAGCTCCAGCTTTCAGCATCTGTTGGTTTTCACACCTGGCCATTTGGCATTTAAAAAAAAGAGGGGAGGATATATGGTACAATATATGTACTGCCAAATATGTAGGTACTTCTTATGTTAATGAGTTATTCACTTCCATTTTGATGTATTTATACAAAATATAATTTTCAAACAGAATGTTATTTATTTCAAGAATGCAGAAATCAACCCACAATCACCTTTACAGGTCTAACAGCAAAGGTTATAAAGAACTCAACCTCCCACACATCAGGAATCCAGCAACATTTTATTGTCAATCGCCAGTAAGCAGGGAAAACTCAAGCAAAAGAGGTGTTAGTTCTTTATGTATTTTTAATGAATTCCCTTAAAAGGCTAAAATTTGTACACGCTAGAATTCCTGTTGTCTAAGCTAAGAACTTGCAGATGTAAGTTAGCTAGATTTAACTGACTTCACATTCTCTTAAAAATATAATGTGAAGATAATTAACATTCTTTATAAATTTAATTTTGACTATTTTAATTTAGAAAAGTGCATATTTTACTGTGATTTAGGCAAAATTGTGATGTGACATCAATTTATAATAACCTAGGATGAATTATGATTCATTAATATAAAAAAAAAACTGGACACATTAACAAGTGTCCAATATCCCAATCTAGTATCTGATACCAGAGTAACTACCATTTTGAAGTAGTAGGAAAAGTAGGGAAATGCCACAAAGAGGTTGTGGTTCTCATCAAGCTGCTCAGTCATCTCATACAAGTTGTTTAGTCTCAGAGTCTGTTACCTAAACTATAAAATGAAGATATTAATAGCTGCTCTGCCTATATGTACCAAGTGAAGTATGTGAATTATAAATTGTGATATATGTACTATATTGTGTATCATGAGAGTTCCAAATCTAGGTTCTTTATTTTTTTAATATTTTTTTTAGTTGTAGTCAGACACAATTCCTTTATTTATTATTTATTTTTATGTGGTGCTGAGGATTGAACCCAGGGCCTCACACATGCCAGGCGAGTGCTCTACCACTGAACCGCAATCCCAGCCCTAGGTTCTTTATTTTTGCACCAACTGTATGAACAGGTTGTGATTGACTATTATGTAGTTTTATGTAATACTTTTAATAATAAACTTATGGCTCTTTAAAAACTACTTGGGACTTGATCTGTTCATTTATTTTCCGCTTAAGAATGTGGGTATGAAAAAAAAACAAACAAATAAAAAAAAAGAATGTGGGTATGAATCAGGTACAGTGATGCATGCCTCTAAATCCCAGTGGCTCCGGAGGCTGAGGCAAGAGGATCACAAGTTCAAAGCCAGTGTCAGCAACTCAGTGAGATCCTGTCTCAAAATAAAAAATAAAAAGGAATGGGGATGTGGCTTAGTGGTTAAGAGCCCCTGTGTTCAATGCCAGGTACCAAAAAAAAAATGTGGATATGATATACTCAGGCTTAAGTATTAAAACAGTTATACAAAGACAGAACTCACATTAAAACAAGTGAAACACATAAAATGATTATTTGTCAAAAGTAATAATAACCTGCTACAATTGTTAAAATCATTTAGTGACTACACTGGTTGACATCAGCGTTCCAATAATACCTCCCAGAACCCAACCACCCCCAGGAAGTATTGGGACTAAGAATGTCCTCAAGAAGTCAACCATAAAACCAAAAAAAAAGATAAGCCATAACAGATATTAGGAAATTAGGTACACAGGATCAAATCAAAGACCACAACTAAAGTTAAAATATTAACATGCAATGCAGGGAATTGTATTTACCAGAAATGGAAACAATGAAAGAGAACCGTAATGACAAAGTGAGCAATGCCCCCATAAGCACTACCCAGGAGAAGAGATGCCCTGTAAGACAAAGAGATGCAAATAACTGCTTAACAGGTACATTCTGGAGATGAGAATGTGACTTTGTATCAGAGTCTGATGCCATTTAAACTTTCCATCATTTATAACTGACTCTTTTGTTCTAATCCCATACTCTTGCTAATTAGGCAACTCTTGATAATCTGGTTTTCCTAATAGCATTTTATATGGAGAAAAGACACTCTCTGATTGCAAACACATAGTCCTCATTTCATATGATTCACCTGGCATTCTTGTGTGTAATTCTCTTGTTATGGGAATGTATATTGGTATAAATGTGGGCTCTGAAATTAGTTCCTACTGATATATTTGTGACCTTGGGGAATTTATCAGTCCCTTCATATCTATTTCCTCATTCTGCTTCCTCTTCTGTACAAAAGGGAGACTAATAACAGGCCCTTCTTCCTAGGGTTGTTGTGATGATTAAATAATTCACATGAAGCAAAATAATACCTGTGAGCTTTGAGCATGCATTTAACATTTCCAAATGAACAGCCCTAAGGCTGATCAGTTTCTGAATCTGAAAAACTAAGACAGGGCCACTAGCTGCATGACAACAGGCTGACTGATGCACAAAATATGCTGGCAGCCCTGGACTGAAGGTTTGACCTGGTCAACTCCAGGTCACCCACCCACGGGAGGTCTTTTCCTAGGCAGTTTGTCCAGGTGAAAGCTAATGCATCACAAAGAATCACAAACTCAAATGCCTACAGTGGTCAGGCAGGTCACCTAAATGAGAGATGTACACTTTGGATGATGAGTTTGCAGAGTACATATGAGTGAAAAAACTGTGGAGAGGAGAAAACACAAGTCAAACCTTAAAAGCATTCAAACACCAATATTTTAAAACATTGTGTCAGGCAAACAATGGTGTATATACATTCTGAGTCGGAGGAAGGCCATCAGTTTGAAAACCCTGCAGGGCCCTCACATTCAAATATAAAAATGGGGCTCACTTAAGATAAATTATATCCAGTGACTTATTTTTAACCCTTAATTTCCTTTATTGCTATATGATCATTCCTTCCTTGAAACTTTCTCCTCCTTTGGCTTCTAGAACCTTCTACCCTTTTCTCCATGACTGAGGATACATGCCTACCTGGATGGTCACATTCATTTCAACTAACATCTCAGCTAAAAACTCTCAGCTAATTATCTCTAATTCTACCAATGCTAAGAAATCACCCATGAATTCTTCCTTGTGGCTGCTCCCTCATTGCCAATGCTTTTGATGAGGTCTTCATCAACTCATTTCTAGACTTCTACAACAGCTGTGGCTCATTCTTTCCAACAGCAATCCTATGGGTTCTACCTCCAATCAAACCATACCCAAATCCAACCATCTTTACTCCCGGGCCTAAGCCATCATGTGTCACCTTTAATACTACTCATGTACATTGCATGATCTTGTCCCTCATCTGTTCAGTCCCCCAGGGGCTCCATATCTGGGTGAAATCCAAAGTCCTATGATGGCTTACAAGGCCTTACAACCTCCCAGTACCCAACACATCATCTCTATTTCTCTCCCCTTGCTTATTCTCCTTTACTAACATGTTCCCATGTTGTTTTTTTTTTTTTTCTCTAATCACATCAGGATCATTCCTGGATCCAGGCTTTTTCTACCACCCCTTCCCTTATTTGGAAGGCTCTTTACCCTTATATCCTGGCCCTGTATTGCTCTCATATTTTGGATTTTGCTCAAATATTATTTCAGTAAGTGTTTCTCCAAACATCCTACTGAAAAATAGAAATATCTCCTTGGGGCTGGGGTTGTGGCTCAGCAGTAGAGCGCTCATCTAGCACGGGTGAGAGGCCCTGGGTTCCATCCTCAGCACCACATAAACATAAATAAATAAAGTAAAAGTATTGTGTCCAAGTACAACTAAAAAAAATATTTAAAAAAATAATCAAGGAAAATAGAAATATCCCACCTATACCTACAGGACTTGATCTCCTTTTCTGCTTAACCACCATCTAAACATATGTTTTTTTGTCCTCTCAAGAAAACATAAGCTCTTTATGGTAAGGATTATTTTCCTTATTGGTGTGTTCCCCAAAAGCCTCTTGACTTGTTTTCCTTCTACTGATCTCCCCTCCCTGTAGACCACTTCCTCCAAACCACAGAGTAACATACCAAAAATATGCAGCTGGAATTCTCCTGCTTAAAAAACTTTGATT